TTTTATTGATATTTGACTTTGTATTCGACTTTCAAAATAAACAAAAAAATACTGTACATTTAAATAATGTTTAAATTATTTAGAGACAATATTTAGACAAATCGATATGTCATTCCCTCAAAAATATTATTTTCTATCTTTTTTTTAATGAGAGGTTTTACTCTAAAATTACTTCAAGATATAGAAAAAATGATTCTGCGTATATGYGTTTTGTCTATGTTACGAGTGAGCCAAAAAGAGAAAACAAATCGTGCGCTGACATCCTCTTAAGGCCAACCGTAAATAATATTATGTATGGCATAGCTACGCGACAGGTCAACGACTTCAATACATTGCTGAGGGATTTATGGATGCTAAAGAACCTCTCCGTTCCTCGAAATTGCTTCAATGACGATATTATTAATAATATGTTGTTTTTGAAGCAGGTATACGATATAGTATTATGGCATACGAGGTGATATTATATATGGAAAGATTAATGAGGACTTATACGTTATACCTATGATTCATTGTTATTTATAGTATGTATAGCGGTGTCGTATACTTACTCTTATTGTTGTAATGTCGACTGTAATGTTATCAATCAAAGAATAATATGAAAAATTAATTTTGTTTTTCGTTTACCGCTGAGTAAACACGTATACGTAGGTGTCTCTTATAAAACTTAACATGGTTTAGAAAAACATGACCTCTGGACAGGTTGCCGCTTACTACCCTTTCATCCGTCCATGCTAATAACCACGTGGACAATGCCAATAAATAATATATTTAATATAAGTTATAACAATATATCTATTTTTTTTTGAAAAAATTCTATTATTTTTGTTTTCTTCGGCACACATGTCGTATGCTATCTACCAAAAAAATCATATATACAAATCTACAAACTTAAATTACTAACCTGCTCAATGACTGTTGGTTCAGAGTTGTCCTATTTTAAATAGCCTGTTTTTTAACAGTTGTTCATAGAGATGTTACATTACGGTATTTTATTTTTGTTTTGTATAATACCGTATTATACCGTATAGAACCTTGCGTTACCTTAAATTATAGGAAATTTAGCAAAGGTTATAACCCCATTRTTAATTATGAAATATGCATTATTTTTAAATAGATTAATTGAAAAAATGGCTAGAAGGTCAGAAAACATAAAAAAAAACAAATAATAACACTAGAATTATTTTAGAACTAATTCACCAAATTAATATTTAGTCATGCAACCATGATGGTACCATATGTCCATATACCTAGTGACAAGAAATAACTAAAATTTAAATTTACAATTGACATGTCATACTAAATTATATTCTTAAAATATCAAATAAACTTTATTATCTGCCAACTAGCATACATATATAATATATATATCTACTAACTTTTTAGTTAAACATTTTTTTCTTCTTGTATGCAGTGGCGTATATCCCCC